AAACTCTAACATATTAAAAACTATAATATAATATATAATATTAAAATATTTATAATATATTAATTTATTAATAACATACTAGTAATAACATAATATTAAAATGATTAATAATATTTTCACAATATTCTCTCTTATGACTAAATGAAAGATTTCCTTAATTGTTAAAACCTATTTGGACATCATGAGCCCTTAAACACCATGATGAACAATGAACTCGGAAACTCAAGTATCATAAATCATCATCCCTGATGTCATAATTTCAGCTCTAAATTTAGGCTTTCATATCGATTCAATTTTTTCTTTTTTCTTTTTTCTTTTTCCTTTTTTTGGTTTTTTAACTTAGTTATGTTGAGGTTACCTCTATGCACTACCATTAGGCCTGTCCATCCGGCCCGGAAATCCGGGCCCGGGCCGGGCAAAACCGGAGCCCGGACCCAGACCCGGGTACCCCGGGCCGGGTTCCGGGCCGGCCCGGTTTTTTTTTTTATCACTTTTTTTAATTTTATTTAAATTATAAAAAAACAAAAAAATTAATAAAAAATAATAATTTTATTAATCACTTAAAATGACATAAAGTATAAATAAAAAATTATAAAAATAAATTTTTTATTAATAATTAATAAATTATTTACAAATTACAAATATAAATTTATTTTGGAATTCATCGCATCACAATAAATAAGTACATCCCAATTAGGTTTTTTTAAATTTCTTTTCTTTTCTTTTTTTTGATAAAAAATTGCTAAAAATTAGTTTAATATTATTATATTTTATATAATTATGTATTAGTATATACTTACAAATTATTATGTAACTATATATTATATATACATATATTATATGTAAATATATTGTATATATTTATAAGTTATAACTTGAGAGAGAAAGAATCGCATAAGTAGCCGTTGCTCGTTGGGCTAATGGGGAAGAAGTAGCACACACACACATATTATACATATATATAAGAGAGAGTATACTTATATATACTAAGAGAGAGAGTATATTAGTATATATATATACACACATACATAATATATTATACATATATAAGAGAGTGTATACTTATATAAGAAAGAGTATACATATATAAGAGAGAGTATACTTATATATACATATATACTAAGAGAGAGAGTTTATACATACATACATTATACATATATAAGAGAGAGTATTCTTGTATATACTTATATAAGAGAAAGTATACTTATATATACTTATATACTTATATAAGAGAGAGTATATATACTTATATATACTTATATACTAAGAGAGAGTATGTATATACACACATACGGCATATTATACATATATAGAAATATATTATATAAACATATATTATACATATATAAAAATATATTATATATACATATATTATACATATTATATATATTTATATATACATATATTATACATATATAATACATATAAAAAAAGTAAAAAATAAAAAAAATAAAAAAAATCCACTATTCCGGGCCGGGCACCAAAAAGCCGGCCCGGAGCCCGGACTTGGCCCGGGTTCCTGGGCCGAGGCCGGGCCGGGTCGGGCCGGCGGACTTTTTGGACATCCCTAACTACCATGTAAGACTTTGAATTTAAACCATCCTCCAGACAGAGGATGGTACAGAAAACAATCTGGTATTACTTTAAGTTGAGTTTCGTGTGGCTCAACTTTCGTGTTTAATTTCTGTTAAGAAGGTGAAACTCGAAAATGAAGCTTTATTGTTGTTCTTACTTATTGAAAATGATGCATTCTACAAATCTGCCAAAATTTTCAATGCTGACAGTACATAACTTGAATTTGGGATATTTCGTAATAAATGAACACTTTTCTAATATTTCATAATAAATGAATATCTGTCTACATTCTGCAGCTACATTTTTAACTCACAGTGCTCCATAATCTATTTTGATTTCATAAAACCGGGCGGGCTTTAGAAATTTTTATAAAACAAATTAACTATCAGATCATAAAAATCCTTTATAATCATTAAAGACTATCACAGAGTTTTCACTTGTTTAAAACAAACAATTATCTTATTCCATTCATAACTAAAGCATGAATCTCAAATTATGCATCCAAATACGACGAAAAGGGTAATCTGATCCTTGGACGGTCAGCCGAGCTAAAAACAAAACAGCAAGAAAAGTATTTACAAATAAGTCCTCCACATTCAAACTTTTTACAAACGTCAGCTTTTCCCAACATTTCCACATTAAAAAGTGAGATTTTTCTTTTGAGGGGTGCAAAGAGACAAGGGTGGTAATGTCAAGGAGCAGAGAGACAGGAACTCTCTGATATAAAGAGGAAGACTGGAAGAGGGAGCGCAGTATTTCCCCCCCCTTGTTTCTTGTTTTTCTTTTTTCTTTTTGTTGTGGACTCCCAAGTCCACACGAGTGCTTCTTTCTTCTTCTACTCCTTGTTTTTGTTCCCTTTCCCCAACTTGTTCCCTGCACTCCCCAATGCTCTCACTCTCAAACTAATCAAGAAACAAACACTTACAAAAACAGAGAGAGTTTAGCTCTGTTCTCAAATGCTCTGTTTTCAAAGCTCTTGAGAGAGAAACCCCATAACCCACTTAGAAAAATCATTCCTTTCCTCACTTAACCTATTTAAATCCAGGTTTTGTAACAAACCCACAAAGGAAAAAGACCCAAATTTGTTTCTCTTCGGATTTTTGCTTAATGGGTTTCTTCCCCCTCTGTCCTCCTCCATTCTCTGGAGATTTGAGTTCTTCGATGGAGATTTTGAAGGGAGATCAAGGGCATTATGGAAATGAGAAGAGTCATAAGAGTGGGGATCAAGAGAGAAGTAGAGATCACGAGAGTGTTCTTCAATCCAAGCTCTGTGCTAGAGGGCATTGGAGGCCAGCTGAGGATGCCAAGCTCAGAGAGCTTGTTGCTCAACATGGACCTCAGAACTGGAATCTCATTGCTGAGAAACTTGAAGGAAGATCAGGTTCATAAAAAAAAAGGAAAAAAAATCGTTTTTTTTTCTTTGTTTCCCTTTTTGTTCTTTTAATGATCTAATCACTATTTTGGTTTTGTTTTCGAGCAGGGAAGAGTTGTAGGCTGAGATGGTTCAATCAACTGGATCCAAGAATCAACAGGAAAGCATTCAGTGAAGAGGAGGAGGAGAAGCTGCTTGCTGCTCACAGAGCTTATGGCAACAAATGGGCTTTGATTGCTAGGCTTTTTCCAGGGAGAACAGATAATGCTGTGAAAAATCACTGGCATGTGATAATGGCAAGAAAGCAGAGAGAACAGGGCAGTGCCTGTAGAAGGAGGAAGCCATCTCCACCGAATAATTCCTCTGGTTCCAACTCCCAAACTTTGATCCCAAAATGCGTTCAGTTGAATATAAGCAACAATTCAAACAGTGGTGATTCTACCATCACTAGCAATAGAGATTTTCCCTTTGATCTCTTCATGGGTATGTTTCTATTCTTTAGACTATCAGTTTGATCATTTTGTTTTCATTTTTTTGATTTTTTTTATTTCTCAAGGGGGTTCTTTTTTATTTTCTTGCAGGTTCTCAAGAGAAGGTAGTGGCTGCAAACAATGGGGGGCTTTTTGAGAAAACTGCGGATTCTGATTCTAATTCTGAGGCTTCAGCAGCTGAATCAGTGGCTTTTAACCACATTGAGTATGAGAGGGAGAAGATTAGCTTGCCTTTCATTGATTTTCTAGGTGTGGGAGCAACATGAAACAAATTGCTTTAGAGTTGATGATGTACAGAGATTAAAAGGGAAGAGAGGTGTTTGATTATCGAAAGAATGATGGAGTTCTATTAATGGGGGACTTCAGGCCTATGTTTTCTCTGGTTCACTACTAATGAAATTTCTGATGCCTGATTTAGGGATTCAAAGTTTCACCTCTTGTTTGTTGACTGGTAACTAAACTTGGAAAAATTTTCTGGTTGTTGTTTCTAATTTTTCAAAGTTATGACCTATGACTGAACCAGAGTTTGTTAGTTTGGGTGATTTTTTTAGTATCTCTGATCAATCATAGTTGTTACTTTTGGAGTTTAAAGTCACTTCAGAATTTTCATGAACATTAACTTCCCTTGCATGTCCCTTTCCCTAGGGAAAAGTTTGAGGCTTATTGTGAATTCTAAGCAATGTGTTTTATCTTAAGAATTCCCCCCCTTGGACTATCAGACACTCCATATAATTCTCCCTCAAAACTATTTTAGTAGGATGATCCTCGACAATGGTTGAAAGGGCCTTCAATCTCATTAGATAGATGTTTGCATATCTTAACCAATGTTCATTAGGTACGGATTTAGTTTTCTTTTCACCTTTTTCTTGCTTATAAAAGTAGGTATATATATAATGTATTTTTCTGAACGGTTTTAATTGATGTGATGTTGACATGACATGTTTGGGGATTCGAAACAATCTATCGAACCCGTGTCCTTCCGAACCTTGTGCTAAGAGTTTATCAAGTCGGAAAAACACCGCAAATAAAGAAAAGTTACAGGAAAGATAAACAAGAAAAAAACACCAGATTTAACGAGGTTCGATAACGTGCATACGTACTCGGGAGCCACACAACATAATTCTTTGATTAATTAAAGAAGATTATAATGCTCATAGGGTTTTATCTCTCTGAGATCTCTCTGAAAGATTCCTCTCAAAACCCTTTTTTTCACGTGTTCCATAAACCCTAAAAACGTTTAGGTATATATAGGATCCCAGCCCAAAGCAGAACCCCAAATGAATTAGGAAACTGAAAATCCCGACATCGGTCGACCGAACCAATGCCTTCGGTCAACCGACCAGAGTGTCAATTTTACAGGGTCTGCTCGTGCACATTTTCAGTCGATCGGAGTCCTCGTGTCGGTTGACCGACCAGGGCTCGATTCTGGGCTTGGATTTCTACAGGGTTTTCAGTCGACCGGATCTCCTCCGTCGGTCGACCGAACGGAGTTTTTCCAGTTTCTTCGTTGATTTGATTCCAGGTTTGGTCTACACTCTCGAGACTAACAATCTCTCGCTTGGAGATCAAACCACCATCAAAGAGCTCTCCCGAACTCCTGCCATCTTCGCAAGCATCTTCTCCTTCCCGGATAAATCCATTCTTCAATCATCACCATCTCGGCGATCCCGCCAATCCTCCTAGTGGCTCCACTTTCGATTTCTACGTGTGAAGGCCAATTAAAGTTGCGCACAACTCTACTTTGTCGATAGTCACTGATTTTGTCAACATATCCTCATGATTTTGGCTCCCCAAAATCTTTTCCAAACGTAACTTGTCGTCCTCAATTTGCGAGTGTATGAAGTGGTAACGTACGTCGATGTGCTTCGTTCTGACATGATATACTGAATTTTTGGTAAGGTGTATTAACACTCTGGCTATCACAATAAAGAACGTTATTCCCCTGCTTCAAACCCAACTATACCAGGCACCCGATTAACCAAATCATCTCCTTGCTGGCTTCAATCACTTCGACATATTCTGCCTTAGTCGTGGACAATATTATAATCTTCTACAGACGTGAAACTCAGTTCACTGCTGTCGATGCCAAGGTATAAACATACCCCGTGGTGCTTCGTCTCGTATCATGATCACCGGCGAAATCTGCATCCACGTATCCCCGCAGTACCAACTCTTTCCTCCCGAAACACAATGGCATATCTGTAGTCTCTCTCAAGTATCACACTATCCACTTCACTGTTTTCGTCGAAAATTGTTCTCATTGTGGAATTCATTATATTTTTTGATTGTTTACAATGAATTCAAAAGAGAATAGCCTTTTTATAAGACCTCTCTTACACAATAAGAAGAAAATTATAACTTTCTAGAAAATAACACAAAAATTATTTATCAACTCCTACTTTTGTGGGATCTTTGCCTGTGCCGGGGGTGCGTTAACCCGTGGACCATCGATTCACAGATTCTGATTGAACCGTGAAGGCCTTTAGATGATCTTCTTCGTTTATCGAAGTAAGAATCTTAAGCGAATATCTTATCGATGTAAGATGTTTACTCTTTCAAAGATCAAGTCAGAGCTTAAATCTTTAGGAATCGCCAAAAGCTTCTTGGAAGTGCTTTTTGAGGAATCAAGACTATCTCTCTTGCTCAAATTCACAAAAAGCTAAAGTCTCTCTGCCCTAATTGCCTTAGATCTGCTCCCCCCGTCAATAATGGTCCTAGGGGGATATTTATAGCTCTTAGGAACAATAACTGAAGTCATAATTCAAAAATAAATCACGTCGAAGAAGTTCCATTTTCGAGACAGTTGTAACTGTGTTGGAAGCGTGGTTGGTTTTCCATTTCCGAGATAGTTACAACTGTCTCGGAAGCATGCTTCGTTTCAGCTATTTTGTAACTGCTTTAAACACGTTTTAATGCCATGATTCCTGCGGTTGTGGATGTGATTCCCGCTTGTAACTACTCCTCCACGTTCAAACACGATCTTTGACAGTTATTGAGCCACGTGATACATACAAATCTTAAGAAAACCACTATACTTCATTCTTAGCTTCCGAGACAGTTGTGAGTGTCTCGGAAGCAGTGGACTTCCTTCTTAGCTTTTGAGATAGTTGTGAGTGTCTCGGAAGTGTCTCGGAAGCAGTGGACTTCCTTCTTAGCTTCCGAGACAGTTGTGAGTGTCTCGGAAGCAGTGGACTTCCTTCATGCTTCCGAGACAGTTATAACTGTCTCGGAAATTATGATTTTCCTTTATGACTCCAATGCATGTTTTATGCCTTGAAACTCGTATGATGTGTTTCTTGATACACCCTTTAGTTGATTTTTTAACTTTGGATGATCCTCTGCAACTTAGATGATGACGTTTATTATCTTCTCTTTGTCTTGAGCTGTATTTGGATATCTATAAGTATTTTTAGACGCCTACAGATACTCCCTCCAAAGTATCTTAGACTCATTTTTTTATAGAGGAGTCTGGGACACTTTGGATAAGAAAGGTTTTATTTGCAATCCCTTCAATATTTAGTTAAGGAGATCGTGTAGAAGGACCTGTGAATTGCTTTAACTCTTGACTTCTTCATCTTTAGTCTACTCAGCGCTTTGTAGAATAACTAAAATTCTTCCGGTGCTGTGTTTATCGCTTGACCGTTGTCGAAATCTTGAACTAAAACTAATGTTTTGATTAGCTATTGTCATTGAACTGATATTGAACTGATTGTCTTCATTGGGAATTCATATCTGGATCGCAATTGAATCCCCTGAGATCATCCATTAAATTGGACTTTTTTCCTTAGCCTAATTTTAGTGAAAATCATTGACGCGTTGACCAACGTCAATCTTCACTGTAACGCGTTAACCAGCGTTAACACAGTTTATACTCGTATATTTACTGGAGTCTACAAAGTTTAAGCTCTTAAGGCGTTAGAGCATGACGATCCTTAGTGTCGAGGCTGCAGGACCAATTTTTCAAGTCGGTTCATCTGCAGTATGGATTTTATCCTGAGTTTATCGGATACTCAAGTCACGAGGCCAACTAATGAAGCTGGTGTATCAGTGACTATCACATTTATAGGATTTTTGGCAAACCCTCGGCCATCAACGGATTTGATAAACCTTTACCGACTACCGTTTGAATGGGGCTAGCATACAGATTATTTAAGTCTGTTCTGCATGTAACATTGTGCTAAGAGAATAAACTCTCTTAGACTTTGTGCTATGATGTTGAATACATAGACTTTGTCGTTTATATGGGAACATATCACCCGACGACGTGTGTTAGACGTAGACTTATCTCTAATAAGGGATTGAGATAATGTCCCCCACGTATAAAACATGAATTTGAAAATATTGATGGGTTACGTCTTTTTGGTGAAAATATAAACCCAACATTGGAGAGGAAGAATTTTATATTCTATCTCATTGTCTCTTTTTTGTTGGTAGAGATGAACCCGAAGATGGAGAGGAAGAATTTTATATTCTATCTCCTAGTGCAAAAAAAACTCAAAGTGGGATCTCCACTTTAAGAATCTGAAGGGTGAAACTAAGAGTGGGATCTCCACTTCGAAAATCGAGAAGATTTAGATAACCCTAACTGTTAAAATGTTTGATTATCCAATCTAAAAGTGGATTTCTCATTTATTGAGATGGAATTCCAACTTTCGTCCTAACTGTTTAAATGTTTGACTGAGTGGGGAATGTGTAGGCCTCTCGTTCATGAAAGGAATCCAGAGGGGATTTTGGCTTTGGACCTAACTGTTTAAAAGTTTAACCAAATAAGAATTTGAGACGATCCTAACTGTTTAAAGGTTTGATCGTTCAATTTGTGGACCTCTCGTTTATGGAAGGAATCGAGAGGGGATGTTAGCTTTGGACCTAACTGTTTAAAGGTTTGACCAAATAGGAATTTGAGACGATCCTAACTGTTTAAAGGTTTGATCGTTCAATTTGTGGACCTCTCGTTCATGAAAGGAATCGAGAGGGGATTTTGGCTTTGGTCCTAACTGTTTAGAGATTTGACCAAATGGGAGTTTGAGACGATCCTAACTGTTAAAAGGTTTGATCGTTCAATTTGTGGACCTCTCGTTCATGGAAGGAATCGAGAGGGGATTTTAGCTTTGGTCCTAACTATTTAGAGGTTTGACCAAATGGGAGTTTGAGACCATCCTAACTGTTAAAAGGTTTGATCGTTCAATTTGTGGACCTCTCGTTCATGAAAGGAATCGAGAGGGGATTTTGGCTTTGGTCCTAACTGTTTAGAGGTTTGACCAAATGGGAGTTTGAGACGATCCTAACTGTTAAAAGGTTTGATCGTTTAATTTATGGACCTCTCGTTCATGGAAGGAATCGAGAGGGGATTTTAGCTTTGATCCTAACTGTTTAAAGGTTTGACCAAGCAAACAGAGGGAGTGAAGGTACAAATAACAGTAGGAATGTAGATTT